TCTGATGATGCTAATGTTGATGATGATGCTGCTGCTGCTGATGATGCTGGGCATGGTGATGTGGTGATGATGCTGATGTTGATGCTGATGCTGATGCTGATGCGGGTGCTGATGCTGATGCGGATGATGGTGGTGGTGGTGGTGATGGTGGTGATGGTGTTGGGGATGTGATGGTGATGGTTATGATGGTGATGACGATGATGCTGATGATGATGATGCTGATGATGATTATGATGATCATACTGAGGATGCGGATGAGGAGGATGATGATAATGATGCTGATGATGATGCTGCTGATGATGGTGATGATTTGAGAATGGTGATGGTGATGATGATGATGCTGATGATGATGTTGATGATGATGATCATGATCATGACGATGGTGATGCGATGACGATGGTCATGATCGTGGTTATGATTCTGATGTTGGTGGTGGTGGTGATGATGACGATGCTGCTGCTGCTTCTGCTGATGATCATGGTTATGATGGTCGTGGGGACGTCGTGGGAGCCGTCTGGAGGGTTTGTTGAAAGCAGTTTCCATGCCTCTTGGGGGCCGCCTGGAGGCCTTGTTTGGTTATCTTGGGGGCCTTTTGGGGGCCTCTTGGGGCTCCTTGGAGGCCGCTTTGGGCCTCCTGGGGGCTTCTTCGGGCGGATAGCTCGAATTGTCGGTTCGTGTTTCTCCTGTTGGGCCTCTCTTGGGGCCGTCTTGAGGCTCTTTTGGGTTGTCTTGGGTGCATCTTGGGGCGATTTGGGGCCTTCTTGCGGCGTTTTGGAACCCGCTTGCGGGCCTCTTGGGCCGCCTGAGGTCGGTCTTGGATGGAGGCCCTTTTGGCCGTCCTGGAACTTCGGAAGCTCGAAAAGCTGATAACGTGAAACAAATCAAAACACACAATGAAGCTCAATGAATTTTGCGTCTTCGGGCCCTCGTGGGAATCCTCTTGGAGCGTTCTAGGGGCTTCTTTTGGGCCTCTTGGGCCGTCTCGGATCGCTCTTTGGCCATCTTTGCGGCTGTGGTGGCCTACCAGGCCCGTCTTGGAAGCCATGTTGGGCATCTCGGACGTCTTGGAGAGCGCCAGGAACGTGCTTGGGCCCCGACAGAGCCTCCAGAAGAGGGGGCGATGCACGCAACTCTGCGCGACCCAGGAGGGGGGTACCCCTGTAAAGATTAAAGAAACCCTGCCAGACAGCGCTTGGCATTCTAGCACGTCTCAACGTGCCAAGGGGCAGGGTGGCGGATACGACCACCCTTCGGGTGATATTCAGGAGTTTGTGGGGGGGGGAACCACGTGATGACAACCGCGATGATTGTGATGGTGGTAGTGATGGTGGCGACAGACTTGTGACTTGGTAGTCGCCATCTGGACCCCATCGGGACCCCATCGGGAAGTCACCATCGAGACACCATGTGGACATCGGGCCACCAATCGGGGACACCATCGGGACACCATCGGGACACCATCGGGACGGGACACCATCGGGACACCAATCGGGACACCAGTCGGGACATTGATGGGGACACCATCGGGACACCAATCTGGACACCATTTGGACACCAATCTGGGTACAAACGGGACACCATTGGGACACCATCGGGACACAACCAAGACACCGTCAGAACAGCACCAACACACTGTCCGAACACCATCGGGGCACCGCGGGATACCACGGGACACCAATCTGGCCACCATCGGGACACCTTCGGGACACCCTCGAGACACCCTCGGGACACCCTCGGGACACCCTCGGGACACCCTCGGGACACCACGAAGACGCCATCGGAGCACCACCTGGACACCATCGGAGCACCATCTGGACACCGCTGGACACCCTCGGGACACCCCAGCGGGATCCCCCCCGGCCACGTGGGACAAGCCCCGGGGGCGTGTTTTTTTGGCCCAGCGTGCCCTAAGTAATTAGCCAGAGGAGGGGTCTTTTTCGTCTCGCCCGCCCACGCAGCTTCGCCGCGCCCGCACGCACGACACCGAACACGAAGCCGAATTCGATTTCCCAGTGTGGGGAGTTTCCGTTTCATTTCGATTTCATTTAAGTCGGGCATGTCCCTCTACAGGAGGAAAATTCAAAAATAGTCAGAAATAGTCTGGGGACGATGTTCTAATTTGTTTTCAGTATTTTTTAACATCTTTGGACTCTGTCTCAGTTTTTGTTGTTTGTTAGAAAATACGCCTGTAGGAGGACATGCCCGACCTAACGGTAAGGGGGGTTTCCGTTTCGCTTCGATCTCACACCCCCAACCTCCGCGATCCGCGTCCGCGCCCTCGCGGGTGTGGACTCCGGGGCGCGACCCCGCGGATGCGCGATCGCACGGGTATCTTGTATCTCTGGGTTATCTCTAGGGCATCTCTGGGATATCTCTGGGGTATCTCTGGGGGTACAGTCAACGCGCCTAGTAAGGACGCGCGCCTTCCTCTAGGGTACCCTTGAGTCCTTGCCTCTGCGGCCCGTCCTTCGCCGTTTTCACTGGCCGCCCTCCGCCCCAAAAATCCAACTTCGGCCTCCAAGGGTCTTGCGTCCTTACCTCGCGTCCTTACTATACGTTTTGACTGTATCTCTGGCATCTCCAGGGCGCGACCCCGCGAGAGCTCCCGTGCCTCTGGGGTCGCGGCCCAGAGGCCCACAGCCCGCGAGGCCGCGGCTACGGCCTCGTGTCTGGCCTCGCGAGGCGGGCGCGAGGGCCCGTGCCGCTGCGAGGGCTGCTTCAATCCTTGGACCTGGCGTCGCTCGGACGTGTGCATTTTTCCTTCGGCGAGGACCATCGAGGAGCATCCTTGACCATTCGTCGAAAAAAACGCGCACGAAACCGACAAAAAACACAGGGAATGGACGTCCGAGCGATGGCGAGTGGAGCCACTGTGTGCCCTCTCAAATCGGAAGTGAGAGGGCACACAAAAGGCTCCCAGGATTCGGAAGACGTTCAACTTCCATTTCGGAAGACTTTCACGACGCGGAAGACGGAATCATTCCGCCTTCAGCGTCGGTCAGCGCCGATTGGCGCCTGGGAGTCGACGAGGCAGCGCCGATTTGTCCGTCGGCGAGCGTCGACTACAGGCGTCGATTCAGCGTCGATGCGCGCCGATTCAGCGTCGACCCGGCGCCGACTCGCAGGAGCTGGCAGGTTGGTACAGTGCCTTTTTTAATACATGCTCCGCGTGCGGGTCATGCATTAAAGATGCAGGGATGCAGTATTGAAAACAACGACGAGCTCACGCATACATTTACTCTCATACATGAGTCATGGATGAAACAATCCTGTAGTTTAAAAATCCCATGTATTAAAAAACTGCCCTGTGTGGGAGGCCCCCGCGAGCTGCCGCCGAGCGAGGGCGGGCGCGAGGGCCCGTGCCGCTGCGGGGGCCCTGCGGCGTCGGGCGGGCCGCCGCCGGCTCTCCCACGGCGTGGCCTCTCTCTTTGTCGTCGCCTCGGGCGCGGCTCCTCCTCCTCCTCCTCCTCCTCCTCCCTCCCTCCCTCCCTCCCTCCCTCCCTCCTCCTCCTCCTCCTTTTCCTCCTCCTCCTCCTCCTCCTCCTCCTCCTCCTCCCTCCTCGTCCGGCCGCGCGGCTCCCTCCGCGTCCGGCCGGGCTGTCTCGACGAGCTCCGGCCATGCCCCGCGGCCGCGCCCGGGGCCGAGAGGTGCTGGTACCCCTGCGCTGTTGCTGCGTGTTGTCGTCGCTTCGGGCGGGGCGTGCTGCGGGCGGGCGTGTCCCTCTGGAGGAGGAGCATTCAGCAGTAGCCGAGACATACTCTGGGGACGGTGGTCCGAGGATGTTTTGACTATCTTGGAGTATGTTTTGTCTATTTTCTGATTTTCGTCCAAAAATATATATCCCTACAAGGGGGACACGCCCGACATAAGCTTGGATCCTTCATTAGGGGAACGAGCAATGACATAAACATAAGAAACTCGGAGAGATCCGCGCGGATTTCTCGGATCCGCGCTGTACCCCCCTGGCTATGGGTAAAGTGGGAACCCATGCCGAGAAACACCCCGCTTGCCTCCAGGGTGATCTGGGTTTCTTGGGTTTCGATGGTTTCGCTCTGGAAAGCGCGACGTTCCCATACCAAAAATCACTGGACGTCTTGGGGTCTCCGGGTTGGGTTTCTAGTGGAAGGTCTCTTGTGGTCGAGCTCCGACCGTATGGGTGCGTGTTGTCGGATCTTGGGGGAGGCCTCCGTTTGAGCGAGCACGCGCCCATGCCCCTTCGGTCTGCCCTATGCAGGTGTCTGTGTGTGCTGTTCGTTCGTCATCCAAGAGGTATTCTCTGACCTGCGCACCCTGCCGTTGCAGAGCCACGATCGCAGACTCGCCGGAAGTCGCGCAGGATCCAGCCTGGCTGAGCCCTGGCGGCGCCCCCCTTCGGCGGCCGATGCCGCTGCCGCCCCGGCAGGAAGGCCGCCCGGCTTGGCAGCCGAGCCGCGGCGAGTCCTGGCGGGGCCGCCGACGAGCCCGACCGCTCCCTTCGGGCGTCGGCGGGCGGGCCCACCGGCGGCCACCCCGCCCGAGCACGCGCAGGGGGCCGCCTGGGCGCCGCGGCCCTGGCGCCCCCCCCTTGCGGCGGCCGAGGTGGGCGGCCGCCCTCCTCCTCCTCCTCCTCCTCCTCCTCCTCCTCCTCCTCCTCCTCCTCCTCCTTCTCCTGGCCCCGCCGAGCTGGCGGGCCCAGAGGCCCGGGGGCCCAGGCTGCGCCTCGCCGGGATCTCGGGGGGCAACGGTGATAGGGGGGGGGCATGGGCATCGGGGGGGGCGCGTCGACGGGGATGCGTCGACCCCCAATCGCCCACTGATCGCCGAGGGGGGTGTCGGGGGCCCGTCGCCGATCTTGTGGCGATGCGCCGCCGACTCCAGGTCGGCGTGTCCCCCCCATGCCGGTCCCCCCTTGCCCCTCAGGACCGGTGTCGGGGAAGGCAGTGCCAAAGACGCAAACGAGCGGGAAGTTGCCACCGCTCGCTCCCATCTCTCCTGCAGCAAAAAACGAGCGGCGCCGGAGTACCCCGACGTCAGCCGGCCGGAGACGCTGGAGAAGCGGTACGTGCACAAGATGAAGCACCCGCAGATGCAGCTGCTCAAGGCAGGGAGTCGAAGAAGAAAAACGACCTCAGACATACGCATAAGCTTTCGACGGTCCGCGCGGATTTCTTGGATCCGCGCTGGGCCCCCCCAGCGGCGCCTCCGGCGCCGCCCCTGGCGCGCTCCGCGCGCCAGGGAGGGGGGTTCCAGCGCAGATCGAAGCAATCCGCGCGGAGCGCCAAGAGTTTATGTTTATGACGTTGTTTGTTTCATTTTTTGGCTTGATCGGCCGTTATCGGCCTCCAGAGGCCCCCCGCCTGGGCCCGGGAATGGGTCGAGAGACTTCCGGGGGCCCACGTCATCCAGGAGAAAGGACACAGACACAACTGATTCATCGACCATTCCCAGTCACAGACAAACGATCGCCGATCCCCAGTCACAAAATCACCCACGTCATCCAGGAGAGACCAGACACAGGCACAGACACAAAAGCACGGGCACTGTGAGAAGATACGGGAAGTGGGGAGAAGACGCCATCCTAGGACATGTGAAGAAATATTGGGAATCCTGGGACTCGTGCTTATCTATGTAGTGGGGAGAAGACGCCATCCTAGGACGTGTGAAGAAATCTTGGGAATCCTGGGACTCGTGCCTATCTATGCGTGTGCCCCCGGGCCCCGCGACGTCGAGCGTCGGCGGGGGTCCGTGGAGCGGCAGGACAGGCGGAGGCGCTCAAGACAAACGGGGGTCAGCCAGGGCACCAGAGCCTGCAGGATCCTGCGAAGGCCCCCTCTGGCTGCCGGGTTTGCGAGGCCCTGCGTTGCAGGTGATTTGTGTTTCCTGCATTGCAGTTTTCGGTTTCCTGCTGACCCAGGTATGATCGACCCGGGTTAGAAGATCCCCGACAGGGGGTAACGGGTGGGAATGGAGGGAGAGCGTGCGTGGACCATGGCCAAGGCTCGAAGAAGAAAGCAGGCCATGCCCCTGGCGCGCTCCGCGCGCCAGGGAGGGGGGTTTCGGCGCGGATCCAAGAAATCCGGGCAGACCGTCGAAAGTTTATGTTTATGTGTTTCCGGAGGGAGAGAGTGCGAGGACCATGGCCGGGACCGCACGCGGAAGCGTCACCGTCCACCTCGGTCACCGTCGCCGTCCATCATTGTCATCGTCAGTTCGTGGGTCATCCTCGCATATCCGCGACGGCCGGCATGCCCCCTCCTCCAATCCTTTCCCTTATGAGTAGCCCTTCCCTGTCGCAACCCGAGGCCAGTTGGAAGGGCGGCCCAGGCAGTTCGCCTGAGACTTCCTTTCCATTCGTGATCCTGGAGCTTAATATTTGGCAACAGCTTCACAGATGGAGGGCTGGTCGCTTCCAACATGTCGCTCTCGCCTTAGCGCCGCGCACGTTCGCTTTAAACATGTGCAAGAGCTTCACGGATGAAGGGCGGGTGGTTTTCAAAATGCGTTTCTCGTTTAGCGCCGCGCACATCATTTTTCAACATTTGGAATAGGTTCACAGATCGGGTGCTTCCCTTTCAAAAGAGCGCTCAGGACTGTTAGGGCCTAGGGCGCAACAGTTAGGTTGATTCGCGGTGTTGAAGTCCCGGGAATGGTGTTGTGCCACGATTCAGGACCATCAATCTGCCACGGTAGTATTGATTCGTGGCGTTGAAGTCCCGAGAATGGTGTTTTGTTACGCTTCGGGATCTTCAAACAGTTGTCTTCCAACAAGGTACTTCCATCCATGGAAATGACCGTTTGTAGGGGCCTATGAAGAGGGAACTTCGATTGATGCCTTATCTCAACATAGTTGATGCGTCTTGGGTCTACACACTGGACCTCCTCCCCCTCCCCATTCCCCCCTCCCCCTCCCCATTCCAGTCCTTTCCGTTCTTCTCCATCCCTCGTCCTTGTACGTCGCTCTTTCCTGTCGCACCCGGGCACGGGTCAGAAGGGCGGGCTGGGCGTTTCGCTTTGGACGTTCCCACGGTTTATGATCCTGCAGCTATTCACAAGAGCTTCACGGATGAAGGGCGGGCCGTCTTCTAAATGTGGTTCTCGCCTCAGCGCCGCGTGCATTCGGTATAAGAGTTAGCAAGAGCTTCACGGACGGAGGGCTGGTGTTTTTTTAATGCGTTTCTCGGTGAGCGCTGCTCGCACTCGTTTTAAACATGTTGAAGAGGTTCGCAGATGGAGGGCGGTGTTTTTCAGGATATATGGTTTTTTGCTTTAGCGCCGCACACAGCCAGTGTAAAATTGCGCAAGAATTCTACGGAATCTCATGGTCAACATACCAAACATAGTCTTTGTGAGCGACTCAGGATTGTTAGGGTGCAGCAGTTACGTTGATTCGCGGTGTTGAAGTCCCGGGAATGGAGTTCTGCCACGATTCAGGATCGTCAATCTGCCACGGTAGTATTGATTCGTGGCGTTGAAGTCCCGAGAATGGTGTTTTGCCACGCTTCAGGATCTTCGAACAGGTGTCCTCCAACAGGGTACTTCCATCTGTGGACATGACCGTTTGTAGGGGCCTATGAAGAGGGAACTTGGATTGATGCCTTCTTCCAATATAGTTGATGCGTCCTGGGTTTACACTGGTCCTCCTCCCCCCCTCCCGATTCCCCAACGGGGTACGGGGTACTTCCATCAGTGGAAATGGCCCCTGTAGGGACCTATGAAGAGGGAATTTGGATTCATGGCTCATTCCAACATCGTTGATGCGTCTTGGGTTTACACTAGTCCTCCTCCCCCTCCCCATTCCCCCCCCTCCCCATTCCCCTCGTCTCCGTTCTTCTCCATCCCTCGTCCTTCTAAACAGTCCCTTCCTGTCGCACCCCGACACGGGTCAGCGGGGCGGGCCGGGCGTTTCGCTTGAGACGTTCTCACGGTTTATGATCCTGAAGCTATACTTCACAAGAGCTTCACGGATGGAGGGCGGGTCGTTTTCTGAATGTGGTTCTCGCCTGAGCGCCGCGGGTTTCATGGATGGAGGGCTGGTGAATTTAATTTTGTGTTTCGCGCTGGGCGCCTCGCACATTCGTTTTGAACGCCAGCAGCCGCTTCGTGGATGGAGCCCCAGCGCCGCGCACATTCGTCGTTACAGTGTGCAGATGTTTCACGGATGGAAGCCGGTTCTTTTTCAACATGTGGCGCTTGCTTTAGCGCCACGCACATTCGCATCAAAAGTTTGCTGGTGTGTCACGGGTGGAGGGTTCTTGCGACTGACGTCCCAGAAATGGAGTTTGGACACGTGTTGTGATTGTCACGACGCGACAGTCACGGTGATTTCGGTTATTAGTGTCCCAGAAACAAGAACGTCCATTCGTGGCGTTGAAGTCCGAGAACTGGTGCTTCGACACGGTTGAAGATTACCAGATGGTCGTCTTCCAACGGGATGCTTCCCGCGGTGCAAGTACATGTTGTAAGAGCGGGAACTTGGGGGGATGGTGTATTGCAACATCGTTGATGAGTTTGGGGTCTGCACTGGTCGTCTGGAGGGGAAGGAGGAGGAGGAGGATAGAGGGCAGGAGGAGTGGGGGGGCAACCGGGAAGGCGCCGTGCGCTCCCCTCCCGCTGCCGATGTTTCTGCGGCCTTCTCAGCCTTCTCCGTCGGGCCAGCACCTGCCTAGCTGACCTCTCGGTATGGCGCGCGGCATCCGCTTCCGCTATGCCGCGCGGCATCCGCGTCTCGGCGCTGCCAGCATGCGCGGACGACGCGCGCTGGCCGCGCCAACGTTTGCCCCCAAAGTGCTGTGTGCACGTATTGGTTCGCATGCACCTGTGGTTTTACACACGCACGTGCGCACGCATGTGTGTCATTCAAGGTCATGTGTAGTGTAATGCTCGGCGTTGCGTCGCATTGCTTTGCATTGCTTGGCATTGCCTTGCATTGCGTCGCATTGCGTCGCATTGCTTGGCATTGCTTCGCATTGCTTGGCATTGCTTCGCATTGCTTGGCGTTGTTTGGCATTGCCCCGGGCAACCCGAGGAACCCGAGGAACCCCGGGCAACCCGAGGAACCCGAGCAACCTGAGGAACCCGAGGAACCCGAGGAACCCGAGGAACCCGAGGACCCCCGAGCAATGAGCAACGTAAGAATGACTGAGGAACCCGAGGAACGCGATGAGCCCCCGGAGAACGGGCAAAGTAAGCCCCCGAGGCACCGTTCTTCTTATTCAAGCAAGAACCATTTAGGCAAGCCTAATTGGGGAATGACTGCGGCCTCTCGGGGCCCTCTTGGGAAGGCTCTTGGGAGGCCTCTTGGCGCGCCTCAAAGGCTTCTTGGGCCGTCTGGGGGCCATCTTGGGCGTCTTGGACAGATCGTGCGGCGATTCGGGACCCTCATGGATCGTCCAGGCGGCCTCTTGGGGCTCTCTTGGTCCGTCTTGGGGCCCTCTGAGGCCCGAAGAAGAAAAGTCATGCGACAAGACGCGACGGGCCCCAGAGGGCACGCGGGGAGCCCCAGGAGATTTGGCAGTCTGGGGTCCAGGCCCCCACAAGAATCCTCAGCATTGAGGGCTGGGGCACACTCGGGCGATTCCCTCAGGTGGTACACTCACCCGCGGTACAGGCGGGTGGTCAACTCACCGAGGTGAAGTCGGGCGGTCAACTCAAACACAGTCGGGTGATCGATTCGGCCATGGCCCATCCCTCCAGGAGTGGCTGCTGTGCGGGATCCGAACCACCCTGTCGCTATCAACAGTATTCTTCTCATCGCCATTTCCCTTGTTAACGTCGTTCTCATCCGTTTTCATGACCATCACTCCCATTGCCATCGTCCGTAAAGTTTTGGGATTAGTGCCCTTCGACATGGAGTATTAGACAGACTGACTTTCCGCACGAGCTAGGTGCCAAGCCGATCTCTCCAATGATCGTGCCAGACTTATCTGATATTGTCCACCAAGTGGAGCTTATTTGCATTGCGGCCTGCGCCGCTATGCTGCTGGGGCGCCTGGCTTGGCAGTTGTGGACCGAGGGCGCCTCAAGGTCTTGGTTTCACGATTACTATGTTCGATTGCTCGCGTTCTCTACAGTCGTCAGGACGGTCATTCTTGGGAAAGACGG